TTCAGGCAGTAGCTTGGGGCACAGCATAGGTCTCCAACCATCCGGTGGTTGCTTCCACCATGGTGAGCACGTAACGCTTGCCACTGCGGGTTTGTGGGAGCGTGATGTAGTCAACCTGCCAGGCTTCTCCATATTTATGTTTTAACCATTGTCCTTCATACCAAAGAGGCTTTAACCTCTTGACTTGCTTAATTGCAGCACATGTTTCACATTCATGAATAACCTGTGCAGTAATGTCCATGGTTAAGTCCACCGCTCGATCATGAGCCCATCTGTATGTCGCATCTCTTCCTTGATGGCCTGAGGAATCATGGGCCCAGAGGGCTAAAAATTTTTCACCCTTGTGTTACCAGTCCAGGTCTACTTGAGACACTTTGATCTTAGCAGCCTGGTCCACCTTTTGGTTGTTTTGATGTTCTTCACTAGCTCGACTCTTGGGCACATGAGCATCTACATGATGTGTCTTTACAACCAGTCTCTCTAGTCGAGCAGCAATGTCTTGCCATAATTCAGCAGCCCAGATGGGTTTGCCTCTGCGCTGCCAGTTGCTCTTTTTCCATTGTTGTAACCACCCCCACAAGGCATTTGCCACCATCCATGAGTCTGTATAGAGGTAGAGCACTGGCAGCTTTTCTTGCTCAGCAATATCTGAGGCCAGCTGCATGGCTTTTACCTCTGCAAACTGACTTGATTCACCTTCTCCTTCAGCAGCCTCAGTGACTTGTTGGGTGGGACTCCACACAGCAGCTCTCCACTTTCAGTGTTTTCGCACAATACCACAGGACCCATCAGTGAACAGGGCATATTGCCTCTCATCATCTAGCAGTTCATTGTACAGTGGAGCCTCAGCAGCTCACATCACCTCCTCCTCAGGTGACATTCCAAAATTTTTGCCATCTGACCAGTTCATGATCACGTCCAAAATTCCTGGGCAGTTGGGGCTTCCTACCCACTTACTCCATGTAGCGTCAGTTGCGTGGTGTGTGGAGGTAATGCTCCCTTTGAACATCCAGCCCAGCAAGGGCAATCGGAGTGCCAGGAGGAGTTGTGCTTCAGTACTGATCACTTCTGAAGCAGCTCAAACTCCCTCATATGCTGCCAATATCTCTTTTTCAGTTGGAGTATAGTGAGTCTCTGATCCTCTGTATCCACGATTCCAAAACCCAAGGAGTCAACCTCAAGTATTGCCTGGTGCTTTCTGCCAGAGGCTCCAAGTAGGTCTGTTGTTTCTGGCTGCAGTGTAGAGCACGTTTTTAACACCTTGTCCCGTCCGGACTGGCCCAAGGGCTACTGCATGGAGTATCTCCTGTTTAATTTGTTCAAAGGCTTGTTGTTGCTCAGGACCTGATGTGAAATCATTCTTCTTTGGGTCACCTGCTAGAGAGGACTCACGATCTGGCTGCAATTTGGAATGTCCATTCTCCAGAAATCCACAATGCCTAAGAAGGCTTGTGCTTCCTT